TCTCTCTCTCTATATATATATATATATATATATATATATATATATATATATATATATGTGTGTGTGTGTGTGTGTGTGTGTGTGTGTGTGTGTGAGAGAGAGAGAGGGGGGGGGAGAGGGAGAGAGAGAGAGAGAGAAAGTTTTCTTTTCTTTTGGTGATTGTCATATAATTACAACCACTTCTTCCTTCTTCCTCTCTCCAAACCCTCCCATGCAGCCTTCCTTGTTCTCTTTCAAATCTATTACCTCTTTTCATTGTTATAAGCACACATGTATATGTATATCCTTTTATATTTGTAAATATAACCTGTTCAGTTTATATAATGTGATTTGTATGTGTGTTTTCAGTACTGACCATTTGTGTGCTCTTCCCCGGATAAGACTATTTCTTCCTCTCCCAGCAACTATCAGTTGCCAATAGCTGTTCTGCTAAGGTGGGATTCTGTGCCCCTCTCAATGCTGACATCTGGCCTGGCTTGAGTTTGCATGGATCTTGTGCACGTGAAACTACAAAATTTTTGTGACAGGGTGGCAAATCTTCTACCTCTGAGCAGAAAAATGTGTCTTAGTTATGACAGAACTCAGAAGCCAAAAGAGAAAACTCAAAGCATTTGAGTGTGGTGGAATTTAAAATATTATCATCTGAAGATACCCCAAGAGTGAAGGCATAGGTCATAAATGGAATACTAACCTGTGTAGGACAGCTAAGCAATCGTAAAAGGAAATCAAAGGACTAGGATCAAGAAAAAAGGGTATTTGTATATATTTCTGTGTTAATAAAAACAGATCATCATCCTCTAGAGAAAAACATCAATGTACTTTGACTCCCCTCCTGGTCACCCTCTCTCACAATCCTTCCCTATCTCCTCCTCCCCATCTCCTCTGAGTGTGTGGGAGCACCCTGGCTACCCCCTTACCCTGGTACTTCAAGTTTTTGTGAGACTACGCACATCCTCTTCCACACACAGGCAATAGCTTTAGGAATAACTCTTGTTCGAGTTGTTCAGGACCCACATGAAGACCAAGCTGCTTCTGTGCTACATATGTGTGGGGTGGCCTAGGTCCTGCTTTTGTATGTTCTTTAGTTGATGGTTCAGTGTCTAAGAGCCCCAAGGGTTGAGGCTAGTTTACTCTGTTGGTCTTCCTATGAAGTTTTTATCCCATCTGGGGCCTGTAATGCTTCCCCCTATTCTTCCATAAGAGTTCCCAAATTTCATTCACTGTTTGGCTGTAGGTGTTTGTATCTGTCTGAGTCAGCTGCTGGATGGAACCTATCAGAGGACAGCCATACTAGACTCCTGTCTGATATATAATATTTTTATGGAGGAGAGTTCAAATGATGTTAAAGATAAAATCATTTTGAATATATGAAAATATGTTCAAATTCACTAATGGTCAGGTCAATTAAATTTTAAAGCATTTTGAGAAACAATCATTGAGAATAAATAAATTATTTAAGTCAGATAATACCACATTGAGCAGGGTGAGCATTGTTGGGAATTCTTCTTCACTGTTATAAAAGTAGAAGTTGTGTAACTACTTTAGAAAGGATTGGCTTCCCTGATGAACCTAACTGTGCACACAAACTACTATCAAGAATACTGGCTGATGGGTACAGGCTCTAGAGAAACCATGGCAACATTCATAAACTCTCACGTTACAGTTAATGCTTACAGGAGCTTCTTTTCACATCAAAAAAGATGAAAACATCACAAATATCTAGTAATAAAAGGATGAATAAACAAGGAATGTAAAGTCTTAAAGTAGAACACTGGAGAACAGAGAAAATGAGTGACCTGTAAGTATGTATAACTTACGATGGCTGAACTGTACCAGAATAAAAGTTTGAATAGAAGAATAAAGTCACAAGGCAAATATATCATTTGATTTTCCTTATATGCAACTCAAAACCTAGCAGGCTCATGTACTACTAAGAATCCAGATACAAAACCTCCAGAGAGAGAAAATGACCAACCCATAATTCAGGACCTTCTGGCTCGGTGGGAAGAGAGTTGCTCTCTGTGTTAGGCATACAAGATGACCTGAAATATAACAGTTTTGTCTTTTAGACTTTGTAGTATGTACTTAAGTGTTCATTCTTTGATGATTTATTGTACATATTTTATAGTGAGTGTGTCATTATTTTTTAACTTAATTGTTACAGATTCCAAGAATCCCAAGCTACAGATACTTTTAAATTTTTTTATTCATGCTTTTCTCATGTATTACATCCTGACCAAAGTTTCCATTTCTTCCTCCCCTCCTTCCTCTCCACCTACTCTCTCCCCAAATCCAATCCTCCTCCTGTTTCCCTTCAGAAAAAGACAGGTCTCCAAAGGTTGTCAATCAAACATAGCATACCATGTTGCAATAAGACTAAACAGTTCCCTTCATAGTAAGTCTAGATGAAGCAACCCAGTAGGAGAAAAATGGTCCAAGAGCAGGTACTTGCTAGGAGTTCCATAAAAAGATCACGATACTCAACCATAGTTTATATGCAAAGGACCTAGGTCAGATACTTTGCAGGCTCCCTGATTGTTGGTTTAGTCTCTGTGAATCCCCATGTGCCTACGTTAGTTAATTCTGTGGGTCTTCTTGTGGTGCCCTTGACCCCTCTGGGTCCTACAATCCTCCTCTCGCTCTTCTGCAAGGTTCCCAAGCTTTGCCTAATCTTTGACTGTGGGCCTCTGCATCTGTTTCCACCAGGTGCTGGATGAAGCCTCTCTGATTATGCTAGGCTCCTGTCTATGACAAAATACAGTTCTTAATTCATTAAGTTAAGAGGATATGAATAAATCTGTTTATTTTATCATATTCTTGTGGTGATTTTGATAAGAGTAGTCTAAAGGCCATGCTTTGAATATCATCTGTATTATATTAATAGTTTAAAGTTTTCACTCTTATAACTGCAAATTCTAGAACAACACAATAATTAGAGATAAATTTACAACAAATGATACACAACTCTTCTATGTTCAGAAATTTTCACTTTACTATAGTATTTATGAAAGATAAGTCAAATGAAGTTGCATTTAAACCATGTTAGTCATTACACAAGATCTCAGTGAAGAGACATGTCCCCGTACCGTACAGTACCACCTAGAAAAAACTGCTTAACCATTATACCATGAATTAGGAAAGTAGTACCTGAAAGTCAACCCAGTGACCTCTTTACCATTTGCCTATAAAAATATAAAACCCTGGCTTCTTTTAAAAACAGGAAATCATTGTCAATAAAATTCACAGGAATAAAATTAGATTGAAGAAAATAAAATGTAAAAAGGTGACACTGGTCAGCTGCCTAGTCAACATTAACATTAATATTAAACTTTCCTAAGGAGCATTAAGTTACAACAGTCAATTCAAGCAACACTTTCTGATTACATTCTGACCTGCATGTGGAGTGCTGCTACTCTAAACAAACTTGCGATGACATAATTTTATTTTACATATATACAGATTATGCTATTTATATACACATCATGGGACTGTTCCAGTCACTTCGATGATGGGGACTTGTCAAGCAGAGTATTTCTGGTTGGCTTCTTGCATTCAGCAAAGGATCAAGCAGCCACTTCTTTTCCCTCTTTTCTGAGAAGGGTTCTGGGAAATCTGAATGCATAGCTTGGTTTGTGGAGGGGATGGGGCTGTAACTAAGAGTATCAAGGATCTGGGTTTTATAAATAATGTCTTTTTTTTTTTCAAGCATTTCAGATGTTAGCTACACTTTTGATTTCTGTGCCTCCACCAGACTGTATGATCCTTTCATGTTGGCTTTTCTTGCAAAGTAAACGATCATCCCGATGGCAGGTATTACCAAGGAGGATGCACAGTAGAGTGCAAGAAGTTCGGGGGAAAAGGAGTCCTTGTTATTTTCTTTTCCTGGAAAATAACCAAATGGATCCAATTAATGTCTAGTACAAAAGGAAATAATTTCACCACAGTATGTGTTTTATTGTAACAGTACAACTAGTTCCTTAAAGAAGAAGTGATAAAAGCTGGGCTGAGGACCACTGAGACTCATCTAACACATTTTTTTCCCCTGAAAGATCCAAATAAGCAGCTTATGCTTGCTATGCTCATGATGGGTGTGGAGATGACAGTTTTTGACTCTACAAAGTTAGATTTTAAAAGATTGCTTTGGGTATAAAATGGAAGGGGGAGCACACATCTTACTAATCTGTTTTTATAAAAGAAGGAATCAGAAATAACCCTGTGACAGTGACAGTCATGAGCAGAAATGCCTAACAAGTTCTATAAGACAATCTATGTAACACTCAGTGTGGCCATTAAGGTAAAAAAAACCAGAGCCTTCTTGTTGATGGTTGGCTGGCATGTGCTTATATGCTGTGTGTTCTGTGTGTCTGAAGCAAAAGCATCTTTATACAACTGTTACCCCTCCCCCCAGTTGACAACATCTGTTAATTTACTTATGAACTTTGGGTATTTCACTTAAGTAAATGTCTTAGTTACCAACAGAGTACACTTTCTGACCTTTGTTTCCCTTGATCTAAATTGATACTCCTCCATTCCTTCAAAATCCAACCACCACAATTCCTTATTCGCCCTAAGAGCTTATAATTCAGTATTTGAGCATGTAATTATCTGTTAAATTTGGTTTCCTCTCTTGACTGCAAACTCTATAAAGACAACTGTGTTTATTTGAGATGTTTCAAAACTAGCCAGCACTTCAGACAGACACTTCCTGACACTCTGGGTAGTCCCAAATGTTATTTGAGTACTAATAAAGTTTTTCTTTCTAAATCTTACCATTTTGCCACATAGTCATAAATTTAGTACTCAAAATGACAATATATAAACACTTTAAAATCTTTTAAGAGAACAACATGACAATAGCAACACCCTGAGCAACATCCGGGCTTCATTAAAACATCTCCAGAGAGCATGGCATTCTCCCAAGGTGTGTTTCTGTTTTTTTGTTTTGTTTTGGTTTTTTTTTTTTTTTTGCACCCCACAGGGTGACCTCACAGTTACATTTTACTAAGTGGAACGGTATGCTGTCTGAATCCTGGCAGGGATTAGTGACCTGATCTGGGGCACCTTTACAATTCCTTCCAGAGCTTTCAAAACACAGAAAGTCATTCAAGTAGAAACGACTCGTTAGCATTACACAAGCGAATTGTTTCAAATTACTGTAGGATAAAAAAATGACGCTTTACCTTAAGCATCATGGTAATGTCTTTATCTCTCTGCTTTCCTTTAGTAGAATTGATCTAAGGGTAATATTTTAATTGGATACTTCTCATAAATGTGGTTACCCATCAATATTGATGACAACCAAGAAGTATTTATATTGTTTCTTTTTTCAGTTTAATTATCACCTTTGCCTTTCAGTTTGTCCCTCAGACATCTGTTGAAAACTCAAAATTGATCCACTTGCTAGGGCAATATTCTAAAACATTTTTTCCCTATAAGTCTATAAACTTTGAAAGTTTTAAAGACTCCTGATCATGTGTATTAATGGGATGCATTTAAGCCAAAACCAAACAACACAATAAATATAAACATTCAGCTATAAATACAAAGGAAAATTAGTTTAAACTATCCAGTAGGGCAAAAAGGTCAATTTGGGTCTTTATTCATATGCAATTATTTGAAATCATCTTCAAATTGGAAGCATGAACATCTGGCTGTGTGACTAATATGGTTTTATTGTTCATTTAAAATATAAATTAAAAGTGGCAAATATGTAAGAAATTAATTGAGCAATTAGAAAAGACAATGTGGGAAGAAGCAGTTTTCATGCTCTTGAGGAGAAACAGCCATGCACACACAGGATGACAAAAATCTTCAAAATGCAATTTCCTGGGGCTAGGCTAAATTAGAGCTAGCTAGAGGAAGACATTTTTCAGCTTAAGGATAATTGAGATCTCAGTCCATCTCTCTACATACACTGTGTCATATCCAGTGACCTGAGGGAAGATACTGTCCCACTCTTTGAATACATGGTATCTTTCTTGGCCAGATCACCTGCTTGCAGAACAATCACCACAAGTGAGTGACTAGAATTTTGACATGTAATTATGATATTTTCCCTTCCTTTAACATTTCTAAGTAGATGTATTAATATTGCTCTGATTTGAAGAGGCTCTATGAAGACAGAAAAAAATGTATGCTAAAGTTTGTAGTCTTGAGGAATGTGATTAGTAAAATGTGTATGTTTTCTCACTTATGTTCAGATTTCTCTACACTGACAGTGTGGTTAGTTAACTCTCATGGTCAATGCCAGACTGATTCAGAATTGGCATTCATTAGCAATGTTGCTCACTCTACCAGGCTGGATTTCAGCATACAACAGCTCTTTGGTGTGCAAAGGGTCCAAGGCTCATTAGTCAAGGCTAGCTTCAATAAAATTAACAGGCACTCACAAGAGAGAACAGGAATATGTGCCAATGTGTCTGACGGGGCCACTGCCCCTCCCTTCCTCTTCATCAGGTTAAAGTCCGACAACTGGGGCATGGATTTCAAAGGAAGCTCTTGTGAAATCTAGAGATCCTGCTGCGGATGCAGGCCACTATCCCCAATTAGCATCCTCACAAAAGAGCCATGCAGAAAATATGTGGTTATTCTGAATTCTGAAAGCAGAGCTCCTTTCCAGTGGGGAGCAAGGTCTGCAGAGGATTGTTTGTCTGCTGTGCCAGCCCCAATTCCTTAGTTTTTGTTTACCCCTGGGGAAGCATTGCAAAGTATATTGTTAAACTCTTAGCAAATCTAAGACCTCAGAGACCAGTGATGAATTGGCAACTTTGGAAAAAAAATAACAAATGGAAATTCCACATCTCCGATGATTAATGTCCACTTCCTGGCTAAACGCTATAGGATAGAACAGCTGTATCTGATTATTTCAAGAAGCATTAAGAAACAGGCGGTCAGCACAGAATTCAGTCTCATTTTACCAACTCCATCTAACAGTAGAAATTTGTTACTCTCCTTAGATACTTGAAATAATTTTAAAAATAAATTTTTAAAAAAAGCAAACACAGTAAGCTAACCTTTTACATCAAGTGTTAAACTTCTTAATTGTGAGCCAACTTCAGTTTTAGATTCACACTCGTATACGCCGGCATCCTGCAGCTGTGCCTTGCGGATGGTGTATGAGCCATCAACAGACTTTAACACCATGTCTCCTGTCTTTGCTTTCTTCTTCAGGATTATCCACGTTTCCAGCATATTTCCACAAGTGCAAGAGATAATGACGGTGTCTCCCTCTTTGACGCTCTTAGACGGAAAGACTGTAAGCTGTATGTCTTTCAGAGAGAATGGACAGTTAGTGTGTGGGGGAGGGGTACTGCAACCCCATACTGACTGAGAACATTGGCAGTCTTTGCCAAACTGTTTGCGATGCTTTCTGCATGAGCTGTAAGGAAGGAGAGCAAAGAAGTTGGGCATTTGACCAATTCTCAATGATCGTATTGCAAGCAAGCGAAGATCTATTTCAGGCTTCTTTTCTACCCTTAATATGATTCTTTATCCAAGCAAAGTCAAAAATTAGGTATTTAATAAGTAGCTGTAGAATTTAAATACGGAAAATAAACTTTATTTTTGTTAAAAATTACATTGTTTACCATATTTTCCTTGATGTGTAAAAGCCTTATGAGCCAGGTGCTCCCTGACCAGAAAATTAAGATGTATAGAGATTGTTATTATTTTTTGCTGTCTTTAAGAACATAGTTACCAATGATCAAATTTCAAGGTCTGTCTGATCTCTCCTGAGAGATAGAACATTTCTGTAAATGCAAAAACCATAGAGGGAAACACTCAATGTCTGTTTTATAAACACTTGCTTAAGACCTTGTCACACTGATGCCCCCCCCCCCAGGGCCACAGGTTTATGACATCCACACTTGAGTTTCCTTTTCTTTCAGATGGTCACACTGTGTCACCTGGACTGAACTGAGAGTTTCCTAAAGGTTTTCCTTGAGATTATGTGGTACCCTTCTCAGGTTCTTCTTTTGAATTACAGACCTCAATAAATTGAGGCAGCAGTAATAACAAAACTCAGCATAAACCTTAGCAGGAATTAACACAAGGGATGCAGGAAAGTGCAACCCAGTGCCCCACAGAGAAAAAGCATCAAGGGTGGTGGGCTGGGGGCAATGCAAGTTGATTGCTTCATAATTTTGCCCATGAAACCTTATGGTTTCTGTGTGCCAAGCAGAAACTGTTGTGTCTTCAATCTTGGGTATTTATCTTGGAGAAGGGAGAGTTATAAATATATTCACCCCAGTGGTACTCAGCAGCAGGCTGAGAGGCCAGGGGGCATAATTACTGTGACCCTTAGTCTCAGACTTTACAAATGGTGCCTTCTTAGGCCTCTAAGCAAGTCCTAGACAGCTTCTGGGAAGTTGCTTCTCAGAGTCTGTTCAGTCCAATATGTTGGTTTTAATCTTAGGTAATTTCCTACCTTTGTTTCTTCACTAAAACCTTGATTCCTAAGTGTCCCTGGGCTTCTAGCTTAGCTTCTGGAGCGAGCATTTTACTTGCTATGAATAGGATTTTAGGGCAAGTGATTTGGTCTGAAATGAAAATCCATTTTAGGAGCAGTATAGAACTGCTTTTATAATTAATTATTTTTGAATTTTGCACATAAATGCAGTTTTGAAATAAAGGTTTTTCTTTTCTTTCTTTTTGAGGCTTATTTTTTTTAATTTTTAAGTTATGTTTATTTGTACGTGTCTGTGTGGGGTACATGCGTGTGGTGTAGTACCAATGGAAGCAAGGAGCCCCCTTCCCTGGATGTGGAGTTACGGGCAGTTGTGAGCTTCCCGATGTGAGGGCTGCTAACAGAACCAATGTCATCTGTAAGAGCAGTAGGCACTCATTATGGCATGGCCGTCTCTCTGGCCTCCAAAGGCTTTCTTTTCAAAGAAGATCTTGTTCACCTTCAGTAACTCAATAGGAAATGTATTAGCCATAAATAGTGTAAAGTCACACTCTGCTCACCTTGGACAATCAGTTTAACCGATGTTTTGCTAATTCCAGCCTGGTTAACCCCTTCACACACATAAATGCCGGAATCTTCCATTTTTGTAGATGCAAAGGTGAGGGTAGTATTTTCAGAAAGAGGCTGCAGTTCCCCATTATTTAGCTGTCTGCTCCATAGGATTTGGGGAGCTGGAAAACCATCACTTGAGCAGGTCAGGTTCACAGGACTGCCCTCCTCTAGGACAGCAGAGGGACTCACCAAGATGGTTGTTTCCTTGGGGGCAACTGAAAAGCAAAAAACACTTAGCTTGAACATCTTATGCCCTGAATTCCAAAGAGTCTAGACAATATTGTAAATACAGGCAAAAGACTCTGGGTTAGTGTAGTTTATAAACTGGGATAACCAGCCCAGGACATTTCTGTGGAGGAGACACAAGAGGAGTTAAAAACAGGATGGAATGTGGATATTTTCAAATGGCAGAAAGTTCTATAGAACTCTCTTAATGTCAAAGCACTGAGAATCAAGTATAGTGTAGTGTTTGGGTGAAATGGTGGATTAGAAGTCTCTGCATGACCCATGGAGAAGGAACAGGATAAGACAGAATTGACTCTATTTCTAAGGGAAGAAAGAGAAGAGTATTGGAAACACACACACACACACACACACACACACACACCATGAGACAGGGAGAGGGAGGAGAAACACACAGAGAGAAACATTAATGGTATGCATTCCCTAAGCCTGATGCATCAGAATACACCCTGTGAATAAGAAAACCCATTTTCTACCCCTTGACCCTGTGTTGATCGTTTGATCAATAGGATGTAGATGATGTGACATGGGGTGGAGGGATGCTCCTGACATAGACCTTTATGAAGCTACTTCCATCCTCACCTTTCTCAGCTGTGTTCTGGTGAGTAAATCTAGGCTACTTTCTCTGAGGATGACAGCACACTAAGAAATGACAGGTGGGACCATGCACATAAGGCTCAGGAGTGATAAGCGACATGTCTGTGACAAGTCAGCCGCTGGCTTGCCTCCAGATGTTTACATTGACCTGAGGATGAGTAGCTGCCTGGCTGATCCATTCCTAAATGCCAATGTGTAGGATCATACATAAATAAATAATTTGGTTTATATTAGGGAGAGTGGTTTATTATGATCACTATTATCTTGATTCGATTTTTTTTCTGTTTTCTTCACAGAGGTCTTAATTGTTAACCTTCTGTTAACTATTAGCTGGTGAACATAGTAAAGAAATCCATATTCAATTGTACCTGCCCCATGTGTGCACTTACCACTGACATAAAGAGGCTGTGTACTCTGCCTTTGTTTGGGTTCAGATTCCATTTCACCACTGTGTAACTTAGCGAGGCAAACAAGAGCTTTCCCAGTATCTTCAGCAGTGGGGATGAAGGTCACTTCCAAATTTTTGGTTTCTAGAGACTTTATGCCCATTTCCCCCGAAAAATATTTACTCATCAGTGTAGTCTCCCCCTTCAGCAATTCAATCTCCAGATGGTCAAAGGGGTACACATTAGGGACTGTGCAGTTGACAGTGACAGGTCTCCCATGCACAAGTGGCCCACTCATCTCGATTTCTGGGTCTTCAGGGAATGCTGCAGATATCAAGCAAAAATAATATTGATATGTGCTATTCAAGGGAATATTGAGTCAGATTCTGTTAAATGCAAAGGTTTCAAAGTGACAGGTTTGGTGAACTAGGAATAGTATGGTCTCAAGTAGTAAATAGCACCATTAGTTATAACTGTACAATTATAATGTTAATCATAAATAATAGAAACAAAATACTTAGCATTTTAAGTCAAAGAGAAATGAATGCTTGAACTCCTTAGTGTTCTCTTCTAGCAATGCCATCTTGCCTATTCTTTTCTAAGGACACACTGGCTTTGGCCATATAATTTAAATATTTTAAATATTTTTCATAAATATATTGACTATTAAATATGAACTAATCCGCTTCGGCCTTCATTATATCCTTCTTCTGAGCAGCCTGATAAAAATGGTTATTATGTAACTTGCTTCATAGCTAGAAAAAGGAACTTACAGGAACACACAGGGCTTTCATAATAGATCAGACCTAGTCAAATTCTGTCCTCCGATCTGTGAGTCTTGGTTCTACAGTTTGTTCAGTATCAGATGAGCCTCAGTGGAGTTTTTAAATTAGTTTGTTTATCAAAATCTGTATGGTTTGTTTTATGACTAAACTTAGGCAAGAAGTATTAAATACTCTGCACATTTTTTAAAGACAGGGACTCACTTTTTAGACCCGGCTGACCTGGAAGTATTTATGTAGACTAGGCTGGCCTCAAAAGTCACAGGAATCTGCCTACCTCTGCCTCCTGATGATAATTCCTATAATTAACAAATGAACTGATAGCCAGGCAAGGTGGCACACACCTTTGATCCCAGTACTCTGGAGGCAGAGGTGGGTGGATCTCTGAGTTTGAGGCCAGCCTGGTCTACAGAGTTCCAGGACAGCCAAGGCTACACAGGTAAAACTTATCTCAAAAAATAAAATAAAGAAATGCCTAAATGCTGTATGTTTTCTCACATGTGCGGAACCTAAGTTTAAAATTTAAATTATATATATATATACATTGATGTATGCGTGCTAGCAGGCCATTGAACTAAAGAGGATCGCAAGAGGAGATGACATCTTGAGGGATGTGGGAAATAGAAATGGTTAATAGAATATATTCAATAGGAAAGACGAAGGGAGCAGGGAAGGAAGCAGGTAGAGAGCAGACAGGCACAAGAGGGCAACAGGACATGGGAATAGATGAGAAGAAAGCATAGTGACATGGACATCTGATGGTGCGACAATCAAGGCACTTCTTTGTATGCTAACTTTAGCCACCAATAAGAAAGTGTAAAAGAACTAGTCAACTGTATTATTTAAAGTCTGAGTACTTATTCTCTCATCTGTCTATATACCATTTATAATACATTCTATGTACATTAACAAAAATGACACTAAAATAAATTATCAAGGTAAAAGTTATTCAAAACAAGAGAAAACCCAAAAACCAAAGCTAAACATTTTTTTCATTCTTTCCTTAAGTAAAACCTGTTAAACTGGTAGATTTTGAAACATGGCCACATTGCAATAAGCCGTCATGCTGTTGGGAATGTGTCTATGTCAGCAGATCCTGGAGTCTGGGTAACATGATAGACCATAAAGTTTACACTCCTTTTGAGAGAGTTAAATCTCTTAACGGGCACAGTCATAATTCTGAACAAAATCCTGAAAGTTAACACAAGTTTGGGCAGGGCTTTAGATGGAAAAGCTTTACGATATGTTCTCTGGAATTGGGTAGCACCACCCTCTCAATAAAATAACCTCACAGTCATGCGGTCACAGTCACGCGGTCACAGTCACGCGGTCACAGTCACGCGGTCACAGTCACGCGGTCGCAGTCACGTGGTCACGGTCACGTGGTCGCGGTCACGTGGTCGCAGTCGCGTGGCCACTGTGAAGTGCTTTCCACACTTGGGGTAGACAGAGGGATTCCAGAGATTCATAGAGACTGAGGGTTGAAAAGGATTTCTATTAAGGTGGTAAAAACAGAAGGGACAAGAAAACACGCGCCACTTGTTCACTGGGTAAATCAGCTGAAAAACTGCAGTTGGCACTTGTTTCTGCCTCAGCTCTGCGTCCGGACCGTCTCTCACTCAAACTAAGTAAAAACTGTCTTATTTTGTGTGTTTCTGGCACTTCGCTGTTTCCCGTTGTCCGCCATGACTGAATCCTGCAGATAGCTCCTCAAATCTGCCTTAAAACAGTAGACTTCTTTCCTCATTTCTCTCTTCTCCCTGCTACCTTCCTCCCAACCCCATAGCCTTCCATTCTTTCTTCTTTTACCAAAAAATCATAATAGCATCTAACATATGTTTAATTTAAAATAATATATTTGTTATATATACTATATTAAATATGGACTATTATAAATAGTAATATATAGTATTATATACATACAATAAGAAGAAACATGACTATCTGGGAAGAGAAAGGGGACAGTGGATAGAAGGAGAAGGGATAAGACAAAGTTGTAGGTGAATAGGAAGCACAGTGGCCCGTTACTTTTCATTCTATTAAAAATAATACTGTACACAGTAAAACTATCTTCCAAAAATGAAGGAGAAATGAAGACCTTTTAAGTAGTAATAAAAAAAACAAAAACAAAAAAAACCCCAAAAACCTCAGTCTAGTAGGCTGAGGATAGAGCGCTAGTGTGGAGCACTTGCCACGCATGTGCAACGCCCTTGGTTCCCTCTGTACCATCTCAAAATAAAATAAAATGGCAGACTTGGGCCTCACCCACAATTTGAATAGCCGAGGTAGTCACCCCTCACCAAGTAATTATCTGAATGGGCACAGCTCCCAGGCTGCTCTCGCCCACCACTTCCATATGCCCTAAGTACGCGTGAGGGGAGAGAAGCTCAGCATGGAGTCAGATCGAGCTCATGAGGCAGAGAGTGGGACCAGTCACGGACTGTGTGCATGCTGTAAACATATGGCATATATACTGAAGAGCTGGGCCAACTATATTGCATCAAACCACGTTCAGAGATCTAGGGATGATTTACAATGCCAAATCTCTCCCTACGTAAATGGATACTGTTACAGATTCACATTCTTTTTCTTCAAAAAAAAAAAAAATAGAAGAAAGGGAAACAGTCAGAGAGCTGTCAGTTTCCAAAAGCACTTACAGTAGACCTCCACCTGGATTCCCTTCTCCAGTGTCCTTTGTAGACAGGTCACAGCGCACAGGTAAGAGTGTTCATTCTCAAAACTCACAGAGCTCAACGTCAGTGTGGATTTGGCTCCCTCATTCCTCACCTCCCCATTGAGGGGACTGCCTGCTTGGGTTCTCCAAGAAAAAGAAGGGGAGTCACAGCCAACAGCAGCACATGTCAGAACAACTGAATCCCCAACCTGTGCGGACACCTGAGATCCGGGGGAGATGTCAACAGTAAATCGTTTCTCTGAAGGAGAAGAAAAAAAGAAAAAACAGGATGAATAACAGATAAGATTCTTTTCTTATTGCATCATATTCAAAGTTATTCCCATATTCAATGTTTATCTTTCTTGATCTCTATTCAGCTACTATCTGTGCCAAGAAGAAATTACTCCTTTCCATCTTGGAGCCATCAGGAGCAAGACCACATCTTTTAAGAATAAACCCATGCTGTTCAGTTGAGTCAGGCTATCAGAACAAGTGTAGATAACAATTTGCAAAGAATGTGGTTGGAGTCTTTTCGGGGCGATACCCATCCTGTGCTCTTTGCTGTCCATCAAGTCACTGTGATGTTGCAAGACCTCAAATCATCCCATGGTTTCTGTGTGTCAAATACCACACATTTGGTCTCATATGCGTGAGTTGTCTCATTCAATTCCCACAACAATTTGTTAGCTGGGACTATTGTTTCTTTTCTACTTCTGAATTCTTCTGTTCGTGTGTTTTCTCCTCTTCTTCCATCTTCTCATCCTATCTCTTCTTTAAGACATTTTAGGCTCAGAAATGCTAAATGGCTTAAGTTAAATTTGCAAGTAGAGTAATCGAAAGTTGATGTGAGATGCGTCTGACTCAAGAGCCTAACTTTTCTGTTACTAGACAACGAAATCAAGTTGTCCTCATGTAAAGGTAAAAATTAAGTCTACAAGAATTACAGGGGGGCTGCATCAAAATGCCCTCTAATTATATCCACTATCCTTAAAGAACCATTCATATTCAAGCATCCTCCAATGAACCCTCCTTATTATTTAGCTTCTTTGGGTCTGTGGATTGTAGTGTGGGTATCCTGTAGCAGATGTGCAGCTTGGTCTTCATTTGGGTCCCTCAAAAACTAGAGCAGGGGCTGGCCCTGACTCTGTTGCCTGCCTGTCGAGCCTATTGGCCTGCCTGGGGTGTCTTGTCTAGCCTCATTGGGAGAGGATGTACCTAGTCTTGCAGTGACTTGATGTGCCAGTGTAGGTTGGTACCCAGGGTTCCCTCCCCTTTATCAGAAGAGAAGGGAAGAGAGATGGAGATAGGGGCTATGTGAGGGAGGGCATAAAGAGGGGTGGGCTGCGATTGGGATGTAAGGTGAAAATGATTAATTGAATCATTAACTAATTAATTAATTAATTAACAGGAACCATTCACACATATCTACATATTGGAGTCTCAATATAAAGTACTATCTTTGACAGTCATACAGAATCACACTGTAAACAAAATAAAGATGACTTTAAGGTGACATCAAATATGTTTGATGCATTATCAAAATACTTTATAGCCATTCAGGGTAGAAAGCTGAGTGACCAGGACAAACACTCAAGTGTCCAAAGTGTTCTCTAGCTTTCAGACACTCAGACTCAGATGAAATGACATATTTTGAGATAAAGAATTCTAAATTTTGATGTTGTTCCTCTAAAAATTCTGGGAGTGGCTAGGCAACTCTGCAAGTGACAAATAAATCCCCTCAAAAAAAAAATCATTAAAGTGTTCTAGCAAGCTGGAGACAGGCAGAAATCTCAGTACACAATTTTCCACTTTGCATGGTTCTTTTCTGTACCAGGAAAAGTTGCTTTTCTCATTTTAGTTTGTGTAATTGTGGTATTGTAGCATTTTTCCAAAAAAGATGTCCTCAAATTATCCCCAAATACATTAATATGCTATTATATTTTCAAAGATATTATTCAAAACAGCAACCAAGCTGTCCAAGTTCCGCCTATGCTACTGTGAGAACAGGGAACTTAGTAGGAGATTCACTTCCTGCCTGCAAAGAGACTGACAGCTACCACTGTGTATGCCTGAAGCTACCGGAGAGAAGCCCTTGAAAGTAGCTAAAAGACCCTTCTAACTTCAGCATGTAAGGTTGATAACTCACACAATACCAACCCTTCCTGTGCCCAGAACGTAGGGCTTTTTTTTTTTGCCATTTAAAATGGGGCCAATCATTTTAGGATGCAACTATCCCAGGACAGACAGCAAGCCTTCTGCACTTTTAGCTTTATAAAATCATCTCTGATCATTCGAGAATAGCAGCCACCCACCTGAATTAAGTAACTGATGGTGTTTGAATTCTACATTCTTAGCCATCTAAACTTAAAAGCCAAGTTTGCATAGGTTAGAAAAGAATGTGTTCTTCATACTTACAGTTCTTGTTTTTATTCAGCAAATGTTTACTGAACACTTTATGTGTGTCAGGTACTATACTAGCCAGCCATTAATCCATTCACACATAAAACAATGAGTTCCCAAGTTTCTGAGTTTAAGAGCCTCGAAGTTTAATGGACCAATTCAAATACATACTTTTTTGTGTTCTTACTGAAGTATGTACTTTGATTTACTCATTCCACCTTGTATAAATATACCAAAATATCACACCGTACCCAATGTGTGCATACAGTTTTGATTGATAAATAATTTTAAATTAATTTTTAAACATAGATGAAATTAGCTACAACTGAAAAAGCATCGGATTTTGAATTAAGAACAGCCTATAAATGAAACTAAGAGCCATTTGACCCTATGCAAATGATGAATTATAAAGCAGTTGAATTTTTTTTTTAGCTACCTCACAGAGTATGGTAAAGACAGAGATAATATATGAAGTAGAAACTCTTGGCCAACATTAGGTGTACAGTCAATGGATGGCCATTAGTAATCTGAGATTTCACTCTCCCATCTGTAAAACGGATAGAAAATAACCCTTAATTATTTCTTGGAGGCTGTAGATAGCTTATATAAGATGCCAGAAGTACAGCTGATGTTTGGAGAATGGCATTGTTTAAGAAAATCTTGCAAAATCTCAAATGAAAAATTATATACTTTGGTAACGGCAAGAGGGTTGGTTGGAAAGGAAGTTAGGTCATAGGGAATCATTTTGAAGCAGGGTGGTCAAAAGCAAGTAATTTCAAACTGGAGCACATATTCATTCATGACCAGTATGTGGTGCTGGAATTCCTGAGTGTGTAAGAGCAGATGAAGTAATCCAAGAATGCCAGTATCCGTCGGGCAGGAAAGGGAGACCAAGCCATGAAATAAGACAACTGCACAATGACAAGAACTAGTAAAGGATCAGTGTGGAGGTGCTGGAGAAAAGAATCCCAGGAAGTATGAGGATGATGCGTACATACATCTGCTGAAGCACATGACTACCAGATGCATCATCACACCAACCTACGGAAGGCATTTCACCATTGGCATTGAGTCACTATTGCTCAACTCCCAACAATGGCACCTCTTCACAGTCTACTCACCTTCAACAACTAATTCCACCTCTGTTTTGTCTCTCCCAATCAGATTAACTCCTTCACACACATAGATTCCAGAATCTTCCATTCTCATAGCAATTAAGGTGAGGGTGGCATTTCCTGAGAGGAGCTGGAGAACTCCATTATCTAATTTCTTGCTCCAGAAAATCTCAGGAGCTGGTAGACCCTCGCTGGAACAGGTCATCGTCACAGCACCTCCCTCATGAAGCCTTGTGGAGGGATGCACAGAGATCTCTGTATTGGTGGGAGAGGCTGAAAAGGCAGAGCATAGTAAGAGTCAGCACCGTCAAGCAGCATCTGCATCCACGGGGGATGCTTTCATTCTCTTGTAGACTGTGTTCATGTGCCTCCACTAATGCGGCAAAACGACTCTGCCAAGTTGGAGTCAAGAACCACCGAGCCGTTATAAAATAAGACTAGCTAATCACTAACTAGTAAATTACAGTTTTTTAAATCTTTTCAAGGAGCCACAGATAGGTAGAAATTAAGAGAAGCCCTTAAAATTAAGGGAAATTAAGGGAAGCCCTTCAGTGTTTCAGCCTCTTACTTAACAACTGAAGTCCTGTGGAGGAGTATTTGCCATCCGGGCCAGTTTCAGCACTTACAGAGGGAGACAATCTACCCAGGATCAACAAATTGGCTTTTGAATATCATTAATTATTGAAAACTTCACTTATTGAACTGAATATTTCCAGGAATATGGTGGTCATAGTCTAGCATTCTGTTCTTACAGATAAATGGGTGATGATCTTTTATCACACAATTGGCTTTCAATGACTTAGCTATACCTCTCTCAACACTCTGCATTCTGTGGAGAGAAAGATCTCCCGTTTTGATTGTTTTCTCAAAAGTTTGTTGAAACCCTTTTCTATTTTTTTATGCTTTGGGTAAATAAGATTGTACTTGACACCAGCTCGTTTAAATACAGGGCTGAGAGTGGAACACAACATTTTAGTTTTAACAAAGTACAATGAGTTCCATTAGTCAGAGTCTAATATAGGAAGAAGGCTTCACATCCACCAGCAGTCTCTAGGAGCATCCTCTTGTACACACACACACACACACACACACACACACACACATGCACACACACAAACACACACAGCATCTTCTGTACAGAGAGAGAGAGAGAGAGGGAGAGGGAGGGAGGGACGGCGGAGGGAGGGGAGGAAGAGGGGGAGGGGGAGGGGGAGGGGGACAGGGAGAAGAGAGAGAAATCATTTTGTCATTGTTTAATCTGAGAAACCAATGACTCAAGGCTTATTATAAAATTTATAAAACATTGTATCATTTGAGCCTATTCCTTCCTATTCAAGCAGACAGTGTTATGATGATTCCTCCTTGATAGACAGGAACATAAAGGAACTAAACAACCTTAAAGTTTCTCAGTTAATGGTACATAACACTCAAGAACTCCAAAACCAAACTCCAGTATCCTGTTCTTTTAATAATATCACATCCTGGATAAATAATGCAGTAAAATATATTTCTTGTTAATCTACATGATACATTTATTATAACAATAAATAACATAAAGCATGTCCCAGACCAAACTCCCAGACCAGAGATCGCCATGCAAGTACTTACTATAGACTTGTAGTTCTTTGACAGTCTCCCTTTCTTTGGGCATAGAATCAATTGGGTCAATGTGTAATTTAGCTCGGCAAACAAGAGTTTTTCCAGTATCTTCAATGACAGGAGTAAAGGTTACTTCCAAACTCTTGGTTTCCAGAGACTTCTTTGACATCTCTTCTAGAAACTCCTGATTCTTCAAGAGACGATCACCCTTGAACAGACCTATCTCCAGCCTGTCAACCGGATAAACATCTGGAACCAAACACTTGATGGTCACTGGCTTTCCAACCTCCAGAGGGCCACTGAATTGAATCTCTGGATCCTTAGGGAATGCTGCAAAGCCAAACAAATGCACAAGTAGGACTTTGGCTTCTGTTGAGAACACCTCTGACTGTTTTGACACAACAGGAGTCCAAACAAATGTTTTTGTCAATACTGGGCTTAATTCAGCAAAGCTAATTGGTTTAAGTAGCTAATTGTAGTGAACTCAGGAAGCACTTTTTAGCGGCCATTTCAGTTTTAATTCTGTAACTATTAAGGAGTGTGTGTAATTAAAGAAAAGAGAAAGAAAAGCCTATTATCTATTAAAACTAATCTATATATGACAACCTAAAGAAGTTTGCTGTATTCTATGACCTTGGATGATGGAGACCACATTTCACAGATAAGGAACCTTGGAGATAGTATGATTGCAAAACCAGCCTTGGTCACTCAGCCAGCCCATGGTGAGGCTGGGAACAAAGCTCATGCTTTCCGTCACTCACTCTGCACTGAGATTCCAGTGACACCTCACACCCTGTTCTCTACTATTAGTGCAGATACAGTTCCACATTCCAGATGAGAAGCCCAGGGCTCAGAACGGTATCACAAAGAAGTGTTACTATGTAAGGTTGCCTACGAAATGAGGAGAATGACTCTAACAGGCTGGCTTCTGAAAATGAGACCTCTGGCAAGAATTCATCCACCAGAAAGACATTCCTATGCAATCTCCCCAGACTGAATCTCTTCCCCTAAAAGCCTAACTCAGTGTTCTAATCTGTACTTTACTGAACACACCAGGACAATGGAACGCACGCCTGCGCTTCCCCCTCCACACACATACACAAGGTTTAGCCTTCTTATTACATCTGTCATGATGGAAGTTCTTTGGTTTCCCAGCTCTATAGAATATTACAATCAAATATGTAATGGAGACTGAACTGTTAAAAGCAACAAGAAATGGCCATTCTTGCAGGGGAGTTGTCGGGGGGGCGGGGGAACAGGCAATATAATTGAATCCAGAAAGTTCCTCACTTCTCTTTTCTAAGTCTCCAACTGTATAGCACTTGTGGGCAAAAGGCAAAGGAACTGGAAATGCTTTATTATGTAAAAAATATAGTATTTTAAATTTCCCTTCTGATTATTTATGTCCATCCTGGTCTTCAGGAAATGTGCCCAGAATCTACACAGTTTAATGACAGGTAATATAAGAACTCGCTACTCTTTCCTGGTATTTATATAACAGGACCTTCCAAGGCTCTCAGAAGGCTGCCTAGACATAAACTATGCATGCACAGCCAGCATAATTGAAAGCAGCCGTCCAGGTTCAGTTGCTTGGGAAGCCCAGCTACACAAGAGACTTGCTGAAATTTCAATTAAGGTTAATCTGCAAAGTTGGGCTGGAGCACAGTAGGAAGGAACCAAGGTGATTAGAAGATGAATCCAACAAGATGTTCATGAAGAAATGCATTATGGGAGTCCCCCCCCCCACACACACTCTTTTTGGAAAGTGACAGCATCAGTAACCAAAGACAAATGATTTCTATAGGGCTCATTTGCCCCCACCTCTCCTTGGTAGATTATTTTGCCAAGTTTAGGATGATTGTAGGATGCTTATTGGGTAGGCTAGTGTAATATGGGTACCTGCTATGCCCGAGATAAATCTAACTTATTAAACAAAAACCCTTTGAGGAGTAAAAGCAAAGCTTTCTGGCAGCAACAACAAAAACTCCTGAATTTATCTGTGTCAAACGACTGAAATGTTAATAGATGTTTAATTATGTCTACAGAGAAGGCTTGCATACTCACAGAGTCCCTGAGTCTGCAAGCAGATCTTAAGCACCAAGTTGCACAAGAATAAGTGAATGGAAAAATCCCAGAAAGAAGGAATTCATCAATCCTTTGGATACATTAATAAGCGAACGTGTAGAAATACAACCAGATGAGAGGAAAAAAAACAAACAACTAAGAGAACCATTGGGATATTCACACTGCATCTAAGAATTGGAACCAAGAGTCTCTTACATGGGCACCATTTTTGTGGCAAACAAGGACACAGAGGTTGAAATTTGGTTTCCTGTTCTCAACTAGCTTCTTTCTCTGGCTTTATTGAAATCGTGTTTTCTAGCTAAGAATCTAGATACTCTTTAAAAGTCTCTATTAAACACAGCATTAAATTATTTTTCAAGTGAAATCAAGAGAAAGCAAAACCTCTTTCCAGTACTTACAGTAGATGTCCACTCGGATTCCTCTTTCCAGCTTCCCAGTGCCACATGTTGCTGTGCACAGGTAAGAGTGTTCATTTTCAAAACTGACAGGATCCATGGTCAGAATGGACTTGGCCCCCTCTGTCCTCACCTTCCCGTTTAGTGGGCTGTCTATCTGGGTTCTCCATGAGAATGATGGTGGCTCACAGCCTGTGGTGCTGCAAGTCAGGGACATGGAATCTCCAATCTGAGCTATCGTTCTGTGTTCAGGGGAGACCTCGATTTTAAAAGCTTGAGCTGAAAAAGCAAGGCAGAGAGAGAGAGAGAGAGAGAGAGAGAGAGAGAGAGAGAGAGAGAGAGAGAGAGAGAGAGAGAGAGAAACAAGTTTACCACAGTCTATCTCATGCTGTGTTTTTTTTCTCTTGCGCAGCAATACAGTGTCCAAAACACAACCTGGATGACCTACTTTGTAAACTGTCTCAGACTAATAGCACAAGACAGACCCAGAGCCCTGAAGTTGCTGTTGAAGAAGGTGCTGGAATTGTCACCGTGAAGAAGAATGCTCAGTTCTGACTTTGAAGCCCATTGCACAAAGCTGTTTTGTCACTTGCTAAACTTGATTTCATTGTCGAGCACAGGAAACCAAAGAGATAGACCTACTACCGATACAATCCAAATTACTCATTTGACAGTGGAAAGGGGTATCAAAAAAACATTCTGTCCGCAGCTCTGTGAGAATGCTGGCTTTTTTTAGTAAAACTCTGTATGTAGTACCCGAGAAGCTGCAGACTTCTGAAATAGGTCAGGAACTTACAGACTGCAAACAGTATCCAAAGTACCGTTGAGGCTCCAAAGATCGCGACCATCTTCACAGGCATTTCAAGTCTCTGCTTCAAAGCCTTCTTTGTGCCCCACGTGAAAGTGTCTGGGAAAAGGGTTCAGCTCCCAAAGCCAGCCAGGCTGGTGTGAGTGAAATAGAAAGTCTGCTCTTTATAAAGGGTCTTGCTGGAGAGGCGGAGGGAAATCCCTTCAAGGGGAAACCCAGGGCAGAGCCAGGGAAAAAGTTTAACTGACAGCCAGCCAAGTCCCCACGTTAACCCTTTCAGCTGCTTTCGGGGCTGAAGTCATTCTGAGTCCTGGGAAACATGACACTTCCTAGAACATAAATCTCAGGCTTTTCCTGACCTTCAGCTGAGAAAGGGCTATCTTTCCTGAAATGATACAAGACAAAGATCATTGCAAAATGAAACTGCTCACACACACACACACACACACACACACACACAGAGAGAGAGAGAGAGAGAGAGAGAGAGAGAGAGAGAGAGAGAGAGATAGATCAGAGATCACTCGGTGAATAACCACTGACTTTTCTTCATTAACAAATCCATTTTGCAATTTAAAAAATAAAAACTGTTTTCTTTCAACAAAAAGGAAAATATCTTTTTTTGTTATTATTGACCTATTAACACGAGTCGCTCTTTTAGAATGAGAGACAGTACAATTTCTTATTTTTATACTCTTTTATTCATAAGTGTATTTTTGACAAAAACTCAACTCCCTGAATAATTTTCTGAAGTAGTAAATGAAGGGATGTTGATGCAGAACTAAGGGAATTATGTTTTTCTTTTGTTTGAGAATGCCCCAGCCCTTTGGCCTGTGGCTGGATGACAGAAGTCTTTTGCAGACTTGAATGCTAAAGAATGAGAGCTGTCTACTAAATTTTTGTGGTGAATTTCTTTGGCTTCATTATTTAGCCACAAGTCCAAGTCAAATATGTAAACAGATTTGCTTTTTCTTGTAGGAGATGAAATGACAACCATTGTTTTATTATTATTTTCTACTCCTAGTGAAATGACTTTTTTGAAAGACTCAATTAACTGTCTTCTCTCTCCCCGTGGGTCTTACACATGCATAACCTATGTCCTTGCAAAATGCTTGCCCATCAGAAAGAAACCGGAATAGCCACTTCCTTGTATTATACACGTGCAGGTCTACCTCCCACATGGCATTATCAGTTCCCTGTATGGCCAGGACTAGTTCTTATTTATAGTTGTTTCTATTCCATATATATATATATGTGTGTGTGTGTGTGTGTGTGTGTGTGTGTGTGTGTATTGCATAGTTTTATAAATAATGACTACAACACTTGCAGCAGTAGATGTTTAAAATCTAGAAGAGAAACCTTCAAAATACTGAATGTAGTTCATAAGTGCCACATGAGAGAAAAAAATAATTCCACAAGAAAAATTTAAGTCCCAGACGTCAGGGGACATGTAAAATTAATAGTAGTGTGTCATTTGACAAAGGCTATAAGTGGGATCTGCAGTCTCCAACTGCTCTAACCTGGCATGAGAGACTTCTGAACTTCCTCTTGAGAATGCATGTGGCTCCTACTGAGAGGCAGGTAGAAAAGGGTGGTTGAGGAATATATTCTAGGGCTATGATGACATATCCAAAAATTAAGTGACATTAGCTGCCAAATAAGTAATCTAGAAGACCTTAACAATGTCATGTCATAAAAGAAGACTATAGGCCACTCCCTATTGCTAATCACCTCTGTAGACCAAAGGCATGTAACAAATGTTTAATCCATGTCTTTGACACTTAAAAATAAATACCTATTTGCATCATTCAAACCCACATTTATTTGGTATCAGTTATCACTCAAGTGAGTGAAAGAATAATTCCTTTTGGGAGAGAGGAATAGTAAATACAACAGAGGAAGGAAGGAAAGAAAGAAAGAAAGAAAGAAAGAAAGAAAGAAAGAAAGAAAGAAAGAAAGAAAGAAAACATTTGGTGAATTCCACAGGTCAAATCCTTCCTCAAATTTAAGAATCACTGCTTTAACGTATAGCTAAAGAACCTGTCTGTGGCTATGTACTTCTTTTTTGGACTCTTTATTAGAGATCTAAGAGCCTGAAGTTTGGAGCTGGATCAATTGTATTAGAAGCAAATACTGAGGACCAAGACTAAGCCAGACCTGATCCTGCAGTCCTTATGTGGTTAATCCTCATGATTCTACTATGACCGCTCCTTCACCAAACATCATGTCCGTGTTTCCGATATAAAATACTAAAAGTAAAGGAAAAGAATTCAAAGGCAGTGGAATCTGCCTTCTTTGAAGGAGCTTCCCAAGAAGTTGAGAGCAGCAACTTTCACTAACAGTTCTCTGAAAAGGTAGGAGGTCAATGCCCCAGTGTAAATCACGATTCTGTTGGTAAGAGCAGGGCAGAAATGGATGCTGAGTTAGGCAGGCAATTCGCATTTTACACTTTTCTAATCCAAGTTAACTCACAGAGTGTTTATTGAGAAACTGCTGTATAGACATTGTAGTGCTCTAGGAATAAGTAATTGCTGACAGGAATGACATTTTGAGAATGGAGAAGACCTTCATGATATCAATAAAAGACTTTTACAGATTGTCAATAAAGGGACCATTGGTTTGTCTTCAAGTCAAGGAAAAATGCATTTCAGTGATATGAGTTTAAGATTTTCTAAAATTAAAATGTAGAGAGAATCATGTGCTAAGACAACTAGTGCTATGAACTTATTGTGACTTTCAGGAATTTTGAAGAAAACATTACTAATATCATCAAGAGTTAAAGAAAATTATATTCAACAAAATACACACGTATTATGGGTACTTTTTAAATTTTTACAGAGGCTGTTTTGTTACACAACAGAAAGGTTTTCAGTATTAAAATTCTCCTCTCCACTTTGTAAGTTCACTTAGGAGAACTTGAATTTTGTCATTGATGCTCTGGGTATGCCATGTATTTATGTATAGCAATTCACTTGGCTGGAGATGCACTTGTGTATTTCTATGTTCTTGGGATGGCCTCTATGGTTTCTACTAACCCCCTTCCGTGCCTTCTCATAAAAACAAAACAAAAAACCAAAGAATCTCACACACACACACACACACACACACACACACACACAAAACCCAACTTGCCTTGAAATGACTCTACTTTCCCTAACAGGGTCTTCCCTGTTTGTTTGTTTTTTTTTTGTTTTTTGTTTTTTTGTTTTTTTTTTTTTTTTCAACAGCTTTACCTCCTGGCCCTTAGAAAGCGTTCAGGCTCATTTCCACTTTTACCTGATCTGATGTTAGATCTGTTTCAGGCATCTATAAAGTGATATAAAATAAATAAGACATTCCTTCTGGGGCATTGTTTCAGACTTTTCTTTCCGTTTCTAGTAACATTTCACGGTTTTGCAATTCTTTACCTAATCTGTCAACCAAAGCACATTTCTGCCATTGCTATTGAGCTGGGAGAAAAGAAAGGGGGTGTTATCTTTACTTTTTATTCACAAGATCTGGAAACTTAAAAGTTTGGTTGTTTGAGAAATATCAAACAGTGAGTGATACTGGTGACAAGTACCAGGAATTGTGTTTTTAAACCAGTTTTCCTTACCCAGGGATTTCTACAAGGTATTCTCTATTTGACCAAGCTACTCCTATGGCTGCAGAAGAGTTTCACCTTCTCTTCAAGCAATAATGCCACCATGAGATTTAACAGTTTAACTAGGATAGTCATTATGACCCAAGACTCTGCCCACTTCTCAATTGATGAATAATAGCTTCATAGTAGCACCTTAGAGCTACTGTTCTGTATGTTAATACCATAAGAACATACAATGAGCAGTCTAAATCATCTGTAGTTACCCACAAACTAAAGGGATGAGCAGATGGTATGGGAACACCCTAGCAACTTTAGACTGTGAATCTAAGTGCAGAATTCCACTTGGCCTTTGTTGAAGGTTAGAATCAAAATTAGTGAAGTTCCTGAGCTTGCAAACATCCCTGCTCCTATAATCAAGGAGCTGCCTCCAGTGGCTCCAATTAGGAGTTCTTTTGATGAGTGCTCCATACAACTTCTTCAGGCATTCAATCTGACACCAAATAAACTCCCTTTCTCACAGGGAGGATTTAAGAAAATATTCAGGTCATTGCCCATTCTAAGTGATTGTAGAACACATGTTTACATTACTGAGAGGAGGCTTGGAGAAGCCATGTCATGAGCTCACAGTAGACAAGGGTGAGGAAGCACATAAAAGTGAACAACCAAGGAGATGGGAGTGGGGGAATCACTGCAAACCACATGTGCTGTATCTACGTATAAATGGCTCATGCAAATAGGGAGTCACGTAGTTTATCACATAAAAGAAGTAAGAAATTGTATTTTTCTGCTACTCAACTATATCACAAGTGTATTTTTCCAAGGTATAATGCCTTTGGAAATCTCCCCTTAAAATATGATAGCTTTTACAAATAATAGATTATAGTTCAGATCTTTCTTAAACAGCACTTACGGTTTCTTTTTGAAACCTAATGGCTTTTTAAGAACTGCAGGTCAGCAGCAAATGCTAAAATATTTTAGCATGCTTAGGATACATGAAGAAAAAAGAAACAGTCAGAAAAATGGAAGCAGAGTTCTTAATCTCTGTCCTGTAGATGAAAGAGTAAAAGGAGGTAAGGCTCTTCACTCTTAAGGTCAAAATTTTCTCATCTGCAAAACAAAAAGGGGGGCAGATCCAGTGTTCTGCAAACCATCCTGTTTTGTCATGATGAGATCTAGACCAATAATGAGTAGCCAAAGTATAGTGGTCACATGCCCCAAATGTCTCAGGATTTATGTCCACAGGCAACAAAACAGACGTCCTCTTGAAAGTTGTGTTCTTTGTGGAAATTTTTTTCATAAAAATTCTAGTTCAGTATTGTTCAGTGGTAGATTGTCCACCTTGCATGCACAAGATCCTGGGGAGGGGCTAACATAAATTCATATCTTTAAGTCATTTGTTACCTTTTGTGATTTAGACAGACTTTCAGCCACTGGCAGCAGGCTCTTAGCTTTATTCTGCATGTACTAGTGTTTCTACTTGACCATATGAACATGTATGTCTATTCTCCCACTGAAATGGGGAGGGGCTAACATCAATTCATATCTTTATGCCATTTGTTACCTATTGT